GCTCCTGCGTTTGGCTTTGGCTTCTGGGTGGGTGCTTTCTGGCTGGTGTGGCTTGGCTGGCCTGCTGCTGGCTGGTTGGTTTGGCTTATATATATACAACAACGAATAGTTGTTTTCTTGATAAAGAAACCGCACTGCTGGCAGATAAACTTCAGTTTCGGCGAATATATTTTGCAAGCCACACCCGCCTGCACCAGCGTTTTGTTTTTTTTTAGACTTCGAATCCTCGCAGGACGAGGCAAATGCTGGACCGGAGACGAGTGCCAGGAGCTCTCGGGTTTTTGGGAAACCCCCCTAAAGAGAGAGAAAACGGCGATTAGGCCAGGCCGTACAGTGAATATACACCCTGTAAAAATAGCATTTCGTGGCAGCAAAAACCGTTGCAAAACGAGGCTACCCCCACACAGGCCGTATAGTGAATATACACCCCGTAAGAAGAGCATTCGTGGCGCAAAACGTCAAATGTCCCTTTAGGGTTTGGGGTCCTCGGCAAACCAAACGGGTTGGGCGGACCAGTATCAAGCCCAAACGGGTTGGGCGAACCACTCCAACGCGGTTAGGTCCAAGCTGGGCCTGACAGGATTTCGAGGAGAGGGGGGTGAGACACCTGAGACACCTGAGACACCCACTAAACGTCGAACAGGAGTGTCTCAGGCGTGTCTCAGGTGTCTCAATCTTCAAATGGCTGTCTTGTTATTGCGAGACAGGTCTGAGACACGCCAGAGACACTTCTGTTCTCAGGTGTCTCAGGTGTCTCACCCCCTTTTCCCAGGTTGTCTCAGGTCTGACAAGCCCTCGGCTGGCTGGGCGCCTCTGGGTCCCTGGCGGGCTGCGGGCATGGCCTGATACAGGCCGAGAGAAAAAAAACTCGAGAAAAAATCAGGCAGTGTGACGAAGAGATGCAACTGCGGTATGCTGTTTTTCGTCTCTGTGCTCGATCGGGCAAACTGTGCAATGCCCCTTCGCCTTTGCAGGCGGGAACTGTACGTTACCCTCTCACTTCACGAGGCGGATGAAGCTGTCGTTCAAGTCCTTCTTCCCCTCGGCGTCCTCGAATCTGTACATCAAGAAGTGGACGTTGATCCTCTTCCCGCAAACGGACGCGGCCTTGCTGCGGCGCTCCACCACGCCCGCACTCTTCAGCAGGTCGGGGACGTTGAGCTTCACCCGCTTGCCCGGCTGCTCCACCTCGTGCTCCTGCCGGGTCGCTTTGATGAAGGACTCGCAGGCGCGTGGATGTCCTCCCTGCTGTCCGCGCTCGAGCGCCGGGGGCTCTCTCCAAGCATGAATTCCATATTTAGGAAACAGGCAAAGCCCTACCTGGTTACCTCAGTTCACTTGTCTTGGCACCGTCCCTGAGGCTCGCCAAAAAAGGGGTGTGAAACAAGTTGATTTGCTTGAGCCTTTTCTAGCATGTTTCCACCAGCCAACTAAGCATAATAATAATGGTTTGCCACAGGGGGTTGAAAAAAAATCGAGTTGCCCGACCCGTAACAGATTTCCACCTGCCATATCTTGATGATAAGATGTGCTTCCAAAAGGGGGTGAAGACATCGATTGTTCGACCCACTTTTCTGTAACCCTCAACTGGCCACACCGACGATATCCCGCAAAAATCACTCCTGCCTAAACATACAGTTAATGCTGACAGGCACTTCTTTTCATGGCGCACAGCGTCCACGGGTTAAAACAGCCTCCGCTCTGCAACCTGCTATGCATGTTGTCTGAAACACAATTTTATAGATCGATAAGTTTCTGAACTGGGCACAACCAAGAATCTTATCAATCTATAGGGTTGCCATGTGAGGGAGGCATCAGACAAGGCTTCCAGAAATGCAGCCGTATCACATGATAAAACTCCTGGCATGCGACGGGGCAAACCCTTATCACTTGATAAAATTCTGGATTGGGTGGTTCTTTCATCAATCAGCTGAGGTCCCTGGGTAGCACCGCCAATCACAACCCCTTTGCATGCCATCAGCTTTTGGCACAGCTTGTGCTGGTGCCCGAAAAACGGCCAGTCTAGATGCGCGTGGGGGCATTGCGTGCTCATGGTCAGCAAATTCTGGGCGATCCGATTAACGAGTGCAAGTTTCCTGAGTTGCTGATTTGCTGACTTGACCTCTTAAAAGCCCCCGTGCGCTTGCAGGCACCATGTTTGCTTTGGCGCTCGGAATGTTCTAGCAGGCCATGCCAGGAGAGCTTTGTGTCTCAAGATAAGACCTGAAGTTCAACGTCGGGGCTCTAGTTCATCTCCTGGCACCTCCGTGCTTCAGCTCATTTACTGGCACATGTCGCCAGCTATGAAACATCCTAATGCAATTCTTATTCAGCCCAGCAGGGGTCTATTCCTGAAAGTGAAAGGGGCCTTGTCCCACACTTATTGCGTTTGGAGGTCTCCAGAAATTTTAACGGCAAATCCAAAATGGCTGTTGAAGGTCCCTCAGAAATGTTGACGGCGCATCCTAAATCGAGTTTGGAGGTCCCCAGAAATTTTGACGGCAAATCCCAAATCGCGTTTGGAGGTTCTTAGAAATTTTGACGGCAAATCCCAAATCGCTGTTGGAGGTCCCTCAGAAATGTTGACGGCAAATCCTAAATCGAGTTTGGAGGCCCCCAGAAATTTTGACGGCAAATCCCAAATCGCGTTTGGAGGCCCCCATGAATTTTGACGGCAAATCCCAAACGTAGCAAAATATGGCCTCTTGGGGGTCCCCAACATTTTTGACGGCAAACCCCAAAGTGATACACTCGAATCCCACAAGAAGCAAACTATCGCACTTAGAGGTCCCAAAGGTTTGACGACAAACCCCCGAAATAGCCACCCCTGCACCTATAGAGATCACCATGTGATGCCCCCCAGAGTTTTGTGCTCTTCTCCCACGAGGATCATCCCCATTGCGCAAGTAGATGAGGCGACAGATTCACTGCACTTCAACAATCTTCTGGGAGCCTTTAAGTGGATGTCTGTGCTTTGGTTTGGGGCCCCTGCTGGTCTCACTCAACGCGGCATGCGCTGCGTCATCGTCTCCACGGCCCCAGCCATCCGCAGCACCGCCTGGATCGCGTCGGACGTGTTCTGCTGGCTCACCTCGGCCGATGTGACCGCCATGCGGGCCGCCTTCACCTGGATGCCCCCGCGCTTGCGTGCGCGCTCCCGAGGCTTCCTCAGATGGGCAGATGCTTGCCAACAAAAGGGCTGGGCACCATGTGCTCGCCGGCCGGGCGCAAGTTGCTCGCCAAACGAAAGGGCAAAAGCAAAGCAAAAAGCACATATTAGAAACGAAGTTCTGCATGTGGCTGCTTGCTGGCTATAGGGTACCACGCTATGGTTTGCGGTCATCAGCGCAACGCGGCCACTCTTAAAAGAGAAGGCGTTTGACGTTTGAAAAAAACCTGAGACTCATGGAAAAACAGACAAACTGGCTGCAAGATTCCAGGCTTTGCGCCATGAATTGGAGCCCACCCATGTGCTCCAGCTCCACCCATCCTGCCACCATTCTCCTCGCTTATCCTTGGAGCTGCCATGGCCCGACTTGCCTCAGGGGCCACAAACGTTTGAGGCACGCTGTAGTAGGAAAGTCTGGGGCTGGGGAATGTGGTGCTTGGGAAATGTTGGAGCCTGGACATGTTGGAGTCCTGAAAAGGTGGGGTTGGCAAGTGCAGGATTTGGGGAATGTTGGAACAGTCAGGTCTGGTTTGTGTCGAATAAACAAGGTGTATACTGTTGTGCTGCGATTCTTCACTTCATGAGCCAAATGGTTTACGGACCCTCCTTTAAAAGCTCAGTGATGTTTATCAATCTATAATGGACTGGTACGGTTGCTCCTGAAATCTTATCAAATGATAAACTGTTTGGTGGTCATTGCTTTTCGGTTTCAACATTCGCCTCTGTCCCAGCCACCCTCCTCCACCTTGGACCAGCCGTCTCCCTTCCAGTCTTTCTCATCCCATTCTTCTTTCACCCACTGATCGCCCCACTGGTCCTCGCTCCATTGATCTTGCCCTTGATCTTCCGCCCATTGATCTTGCCCTTGATCTTCACCCCCTTGATCTTGCCCTTGATCTTCCCCCCATTGATCTTGCCCTTGATCTTTCCTCCATTGATCATGCCCTTGAACTTCTCCCATTTGATCATGCCCGAGAGGTTGCCCAGCGCCTTCTTGATCTTCACCTGACCCTGGCACGGGCTCAGCCATGCCAGATCGCCGCTTGGACGGCGCAGCCTCTTCCTCCATCATCTCGTCCTTCACGCGCTTGCGCGCTTCCTTGCTCAGGTCGGCCATGGCTGTACAAGCGACCCTCCCAAAAATTGCACCTTTCCCACGTGCGCCTAGTTTGTTTTTGTTGCATGATCATGTTGACCTAAATCTCATGCGCACCTCCTCGCTGCTGTGTGGAGCCATCAAGCACGAACATCCACTCACACATGGTCGCACTCAAGACATCTCAAGACCTAGCGCAAAAAAGGGTCTACCCAAACCAGCGTCAAAAGCTTGAAGGGCAATCGCCTGAGCACCCCTTTGTGGCCACAACTGTCAACAACATGTTTCTAAGTTAGTTTGTTCGAAATCCACCGGAGCCTCACCAGAATACGTCAACGACCTAATCCCTGTTGTGGCTGATGCCCTCTGCATCCGTACTCAAATCAAAGTGTAAATGAAACTCACACGTGCTGATGTTCCCCCCTCAGGGATAGCCGACAAAAAGAACCAAGTTCGTCACCCCGCAACGCACAAGCTCACAAGACAAGTGGACGCGTGGGCCAACGCGCCCAAATTCTGCGCAGAGCAGCCTGCTTTGACAATCGCCCCGCCATGTCCCCGTGTGGCTTGCGCCAACGAATTGGCAGAGGGCCCGCAAGGCTGAACCTAAAAACAACATGCAAAAAGCAAACGCCACCCTGGAAAGAACTGATCAAAAAAAGGCTCTCTTTCAGCGATGTCTTGCGTTTCACCCGCCATGACCCCGGCAAACCAAACCCCAGTATAATCGCTACACTAAGCTGACATGAGCCCTTGCTGGGACTCCAGGATCGCTTGGCGAATGTATTCCAAGACGTCCGAATTAAGTTCTACCCAGAGGTCAGCTCCCTTGACCGACCACAAAATCCGCACATCAATCGCGTGAAACTCGCCCAGCGGCGGCAAATGCACCGTGATCCACTCCGGCCCCAAGTGTTTGTCGTCAGCGCGCACGATGCGCCGGCGCTTCGGCTTGGGCTTGCCCGCGTCCTGCTCCTCGACCTCTGCGTCCAACACGCGTTTGACCGCCTCCTTGCTGGCCTCGTGAACTTTGGACTGCAAGTTGTCCAGGAAGTCGCATCCAATGTTGCATGCGTGGCCCTTTCTGAGGTCCAAGCACTTGCCAGAGACGTACCGGGTGAACCCACGGTCCCACTTGTGCAGCTTGACAAAGTGGAGACCGCTTACTTCCTTCACCTCTGGTAGCCAAGGCTGTTTCTTCGTCATGTCGTTGTTGATGAGCACTTGCGAGGCAATCCTGGTGTTTGACATAGCGTCAAGCTAAGACTCAGGCGAGCAACCTGTGCCCTGCCAGCGAGCAGCTAGTGCCCGGCTAGGTGTATCTTGCAATGTTTCCCCTGCGAGCCAAGGACCGGCGCAACACCCTGTATAGTGCAAGCTGAAACATGCGTGTTCACTTGGCTAGTTTCTGCGCGAATGTGCGACTCAATGACTCAATGGCATTGGCAAACGCAAAGAACACATGCAACGTCAGTACTACCTTCTTTGCTGGCACCGATACGCTCAGAAGCTGTCTGCTACACAAAACGGTTCACTCAGCCTTCTTACCTCTGGCTCGCTTGGGCTTGGGCCCCTGAGCTTCCTGAACTTTCTCAATGGCTGCAAGCTTTCGGGTAGCCTGCACTTTGGGCTGGTGCAAGCGCAACTCTTCCCCCTCCTCAATCGCCTCCGTGTTCCGCATGACCGGAACGAACAACCCATTCTCAGCCTTGATCTTGGCCATTTCCATGTTGCTCTCTTCCTGGTCCTGGGTGGTTTGGACAAAGAAGAAAGGCGCAATCGCGCCAGGCGTGCCCTCCTTCGGCATCACAATCAGCCCCGGTAGAAGCTCACCAACTTGGGGGCCTTGGCCGGCGGACTTGTCAACAGGCTTGATCTCAACCTTCGTTGTGACCGGAACCAAGATCAAGGAGCGGCGCTTGAAGGCGCAGCCCGTCACGACCCCTTTGCCCGGCTTCAGGCAGATCTTCAAGTGCGCGGCAACATCCTTCTGAGCTTCTTGGACGCTGTTGAGCGCTTCAAACACCTTGCCCTTCAGCCCACCAGCAAACTTCACCACGAAGCCGAAGATCCACGGCACTGCCTGGGCGCACGCTGGCTTCGACCGGAGCACTCGCTGGCGAATGCTCTGGTACGAAACTGCCTGGCCCGCGGGCGCGGCACTGACCTCCCGAAGAATACGTCGGGCGAGCTGCATGTCGGTTTCCGACCGTTGCAGCTGGCCTGACGTATTTCCAGCCTCCTGGAGGAGCTCGCCCAAAGCCGGAAAGCGTTGCAGAACCTTCTCTGCCACAACCTGCCACTCAATGCCACCTGCAGCGGCCGCGTGGAAGAGGGCGTCCGTGTTCCGAAGCTGCTCCATGGACAGCAGCCCCCCCACCGTGATGGCCGTGCCCTCGGAGCCAGCGCTGTGCGTGTGCGGGTGCTGCGCGTGCAGCAGCCTGAGCACCTGGTTCGTGTGGCTGGCCGACAAGGAGGCGTACTTCACGCACCCGGTCTGTAGCGGCGCGAGCAAGTTGTTGTTGCTCTGGATCATCTTCTCGTTGAACGCCACCACCTCATCGTGCGCGTCCCGCACCTCCACGCACACTGGCTTGGGGGCCGAAGGGTCCCACCCCACCGCCAATATATCATCTAGCAGCGAGTGACAATCGCTGCCAACACAGCCAACGCCATCGCGATTGGCTGGATGGCAAGCTATGTACTTGGAGTGCACCTTGGCCCTGAATGCCAGGTTAGCCGCCTCCAGCACACCGAGCACCTTGGCCACTGTGGCGATCAAGGGGCCCTCCTGGGCCTTCGCAATCAGCTCCTCCAAGTGGAGACACAGATCGTCAGGCAGCGACATGCCTTTTCACCGGCTGGCCCAGCTGGCCACGCCACAGATCCTACTAGATCACCAGACTTGATCGCATGAATCGCAAGAAGATTCCTCAAAATGCCACTCACAGACATGCATTTTGAGAACATCGTGTCATCTGACCTGCCCCTCTCAGGAACATGCGTGCAGGTCACACTTGTGTCAAGCGACAGCGTCTGCTCTCACAAAATCAGCCAAAGCCCCTTTATCGCCTGGATTTGGCAATCCGACTCCCCAGCATGCCTGGCAAACTAAATTGAATTAAGGCAACGTCAAGACCTAGCTGTCATCAGCAGGTTGACATGGCGAATTGCATTGCGCCACTGAAACATCTTGGACTCCCACTGACGCTTTGACCCCCTCTCAGGTCGTGGTGTTCCTGGTCCCTGCTGTTCAGCAAGCTTGAAGGCCCAGTACTCAGGCGTGGCCTTCACAGCGGCGATGGCCCGCTCCCGCTTCGTGATCGCTGATCGCTCAACGGTAGCCATCGCTTCTGTTAAAACCCTCCCTCTAGGCCCCGTGCCGAAATTGGGTAGCTGTTCTGAGGTCCTTGTTGGTGTTGCTTCCCAAGTTCCATTGATCGCCATTTGTCTCAAGACACAATTGAGGTTCAAGATCTGATGTGTGACTGCATACATACGTGATCGGCATTGAGAGCGAAAACACTTCGCTTGCGCTGCATTTGTCAGGACTACTGTTGTAACTATCATTCCTTCTCCCTTACAACGTTTACACGGGTTCGGCGATAACGGCATCGTCCGTATACACCTTTCTACGTGGTTGGTATTACAGCTTGAGGGTTCGGTGCATAGCGTCCCACGGGACGTCACCTTGCCGTCTCTTGACAGGTTATCAGCCGTAACTACAAGCTCTACACTGGACTGGGAGACAGCTGGTTTATTGCGGGTACAGGGACAATAAAGGAACGATAACCTACACAGTACAATGGCGTCTTCGGCGAGCCCAAGTACTGCAACTTTTGGGAACAGCAGCTCAGAGGGATCCAATGGATTGATGGCTCTTCCTGCGGTGATGGATATGGTTGCAGATTCACAGGACGAACCTGGGAGCGGAGGTTCCGCGCTATTCAGCGACATATCTACTCCCACAAGATCATGGAAGCAGATCGATGTTCATCAGGAGTCGAAGAAAAGAGAATCCCCACCGAGAAGATCATCATCATCGCCTGCGACACCACGGACGTCGCAGAAGGGCGTGAGATCGACGTCGAAGGGTGGGAGGTCAAAATCACCCACCAGTGCAGATTTTCGCGCCGTGATCAAAGAGAAGAATAAGATGGAGGTGGAGATCGGGGAATATCAGAAGACACTTGATGAAATGTCGGCAGCAATGGCGAATCTTAACCAAGAAGACTATGGAAGCACCATCCGGATCCAGGAGCTGGAAAGACGATGCGAGATTGCCAGCAAGCAGTCGGGACATCTAGTGAGTCACCACCAACACCACATGGCTGAGGCATGGCGCAAGTTTGAGGAAGAAGCCCAACAGATGCGCAAGGTGGAAATGAACGCATTTCAGTACGGGGAGAAGAAAGACATGGAGTCGAATATTATAATGCAACAGATGAGGCAAGCTGAAGGAACTATCATGGAGCAGAAGCGGGAGATTGCATTGATGAAATCCTACATGGCAAGCGAGAAGTCGGCCGCGCAGGAATCAGCTATACGTGCAAATCAGATACACCGTGAGGCTTCACAACAGATATCAGTTTATCAGCAACAGATCAGAGGCATAGAATCTTCTACATCTATCGAGAAGTTCAACGAGGAGGAGATGGTCCAAAGTCTGAAATCACAGTTGGAGCATGCACTCGTCAAGCGCCCCGAGACGTACTCTTTGGAGGACTCCAGGGAACAGCTGATGACGAGGCTGAATGACGTTACAGTATTTGCGGAACAGGAATCGAAGAGAGCAGATTGCTTGCTTCGCGAAAAAGAAGAGATCGTCAAACAGTATGAGTCCGACGTATCGATGAAGGACCAGATGATTGCTGTCGAAGGTGGTCATCGTCAGGATGCGATCTTGGAGTTAGCCCAGGTCAAAGAAGAGAAACAAGAGGAACGGTGCACGATGGACGAGAAGTCGAAGGAGGCTGAGTACTGGAGATTGACAGCTAAGGGAATGTACGATGAGTACCTCGAGGAGATGCATGAGCTTCAGAGACAACTGAAAGAAAGAGAGGCGACGCTCAAGCAAGAAGAGAGTTTTGTACGCCAACTCGATGCTGACAACGAGGAACTACGTGCACACAAGAAGCTGGAGACACAGGAAGCCTCCAGCAGCAAAGATGGACATCGTGAACGAGCAGTAGTGAAACGCGCTGAGGGAGGAACCCAGGCTAATTCAAATAGGATAGACAAGAAGGTGGCTGGGTCAGTCCCGTCATCGTCTTCAAATCAAATCCCTAATTCGTCGCTGATGCCAGGTTCGATCCTCTTTCCGTCTTTCGGTGATCCAATGATCGATGTACACCTATCCCAGATGCAAGGGGTTGTTGGGCATGTCCCACAATCCACTACTACGACTGGTGGTGGTGATGGGGGGGGAAACAACGGTACTACGCCCCCATTGGATTACGGTGGATTCCCGCCCAATGGGAATGGGCAGGGAGCGGGTCGACGTCAGTTGAGCCTCGCTGGTGGCGGAGGAGGACCTCCGGATGATCCACCCGATGATGAGGATGAGGATGACGACGACGAAGGAGATGAGGAAGACGAGGAAGAAGAAGAGGAAGAAGACGATCGGACACGGAGGAGACGAAGGAGATCGAGAGATAACCGAGAGATCAAGAATGATCGACCGAGAATCTCGAGGAAAGAGGCCGAGAGAGTATCTATTCCGGCCTGGCCAAAGATCCATCAACTTGACACCTGGAAGATGCAACTGCTGATGAATGTTCTGAGCGCATGTGCAGATCCAGATACCGACGCATGGACGAAATGGCTGGAGCAGGCTCTTGGGTTGAACCCAGACCTGGATTTGCTTAGCGATTCAGGTGGCGACAGATTTGCTACGATAGATATTAAGATGGCCATGGGCATGCAGAACATGCTGAAACAAGCACCTGACGAAGCCAAGGACGTATACCTCGACGCTACACGACACTCTGAACTACGACATCAACAAGGGGTGATCGTGAAGGGACGAGAGTTGGTGGCATTAGTTATGCAATCATTCAGAACTTCCGATAGAACGGATCTTGTCTACCACATCGAGCATCTATTCAACCTTGACTTTCCTGGCGACAAGAACTTGGTCATGTTCAGGAACAAATGGTATGATTTGCTGCTGAAGATGAGGAGCGAGGACAGACCCAGTAAGCTGGCTCTCAGAGACATCCTTACAGGAAGATCAAAGGGAGCAAGAAGATGGAGTTCGGCCTCAATGCCTACCATAGACTACCGGACAAGCATCCTCAGAAGACGTATGAATTCTTATTGGCGTTGATCGACTATCAGATCAAGGCAGATCGGGAAGACCTGATGCTCGACATGAAGGAGAAATCGGTCAAGTCGATGATGAAGTCAGGCGGGAAGGATGCGGCTCCAGCAACTGGCAAACAGGAGAACCAGGGTGGCAAGGGCAGAAAGGGGAAACCCGGTGGACCTGATGCCGCTCCTGTGCTCCCAAAAGCCAAGGCAAAGGGCCACGCTGGCAAGAACGGCAAGTCCGACGGTGCCAGCGACAGAGGCAAGAGTCCGGGCGGAAGCAAGGATAACCCCTGCTGGTACCACTTCAAATCGGCGAAGGGGTGCGTGAAAGGGAATGAATGCACTTTTTCCCACAGCAAGAAGACGGAGCACAAGTTGGAGAGCATGTCCAAGGGGAAAGGAAAGGGCAAATCCAAGTCCAGATCATCGTCACCAAAGAGAGATGATGGAGCATGCTTCGCGTTTCAGAAGGGGAAGTGCGATAGGGGAAGCGCTTGTAAGTACAGGCATGAGCTCATCAAGAACAATTCAGCTCCAGCAACGTCAAGTGACAAGGCGCAAGCCAAGTCGAAGGCTGCCGCCAAAGCCGCAGCGCCTGCCATTGCGAGGAGGGCCATCGCAATGCCCGCGATAGTCCTGAAGCAATCGGCTCCTGCAGGGAAGGTAAGCTTCAAGAAGGACGTTGATCAGGTCGAACCGGACGAAGCCGAGACTGTCTACCACGAGCACGATGACGACGCGATGAGCGAATCATCGAGATGGTCTGGCGAGTCCGAGATCCCCGAGAAAATGGTGTGGTTCAAGGAAGTGCTCGACGTCGACGAGAACGGGGAGATCACCTACCTCGAAGACGAGAGAAGGCAATGGGAACGAAAAGGGGAATGGTACGGTTATGAGGACAATGAGAATGAGCCTTATCAGTACGTGTACGTCGACGAGAAGAAGTTCAAAAGCAGTGATCATCGTGAATTATCAGCCTACCAAGTCCAACGATCATTGATACGTGCGAAGATACTGAGAGAAGTGGTGGATGATGTATATAAGAAGCACTACTTCCCGGTGACCAAGGAGAGCAGCATAATGTTCGAGTATGATCGGAACAAGGACGAGATCAAGGAATCGGCTGTCGACTGGAAGAAACAGCATGGTATGCCGAAGAACGTTTTCGCCATGTCAACGTGCATCAGCAAACGGGTGAAATGGTTGATGGACACCGGATGTGGTCATGATCTCATCGGAAGAGCCAAGGCGAAGAGCCTGGGTGTCGACATCGTGAAAGATGACGACGAGATCGTGTTCCAGACCGCGAATGGTTCCACTTCCACATCTGATGTGGCCAAGATAGTCGTGGACGAGTTGGACGAGACTGTCGAGCCGCATGTATTGGATGAGACACCCACGGTATTGTCAGTGGGGAGGAGATGCATGAAGATGGGTTATGCATTTCACTGGATGCCTGGTAAACTACCTTTCATGGTTACGCCAAAGCAGGGATTCGTGCACTTGCAGGTCAAGGACGACATCCCGTACCTAGTG